GGACGCGACGCGGGGCTCGCGTGGGCGCTCGGCGGGTTTCGTCGCGGCCAAGCCGATGCTGCGTGGGGCCCAGCCGGAGCACCGCGACTTTTTTGAGTCGGTTCCGCGTCGGAGGCTCTGGCCCTTCGTGATCAGATCGCGAGGCGCGTCAGCCGTTGGTTCTGGCCCTGGGGGTTTGGGCGGGGTTTAAAACGTGGGAGGGGGGATGCGATGGACGGGGGAGAGGGCCTCCTGCCCGGAGACGGACGGCGGGCTCGATATAGATGGGAACATGAGATGTGATGTGAGATGGGCCGACTGCGTTTCCTTCTGTTTGATGATGAAGAAGAAATTTCCTCTTTTAGCCCTGGAAATTTCAGTCCTCACTCCTCTAAAACAAATCAGAAAACACGTGTTTTTTTTTACCAAGCAACAAGAGGGAATTGCATGATCCTGCTAGAGAATATGAATCGCGCGATTTTCTTTAGCAGGATCATGCGGTTCTTCTTGTTGTTGAGCAGGTCTCGTGTTTGCTGAGGGTTTTTTTCTGGAGGAATGAGAACTTAATTTTTTTAGAGGGAGGAAATAGTATGGGATTCCTTAGTCGAAAGTAAATCACAATCAGCACGTCACATCTCATGTTCCAATCTATATCCAGCCCGCGGTCGCCAAGACCTCTCCGCCCGTTCATCTATCCCCTCTCCTTCCATGTTTTAAACCCCAAAACCCCAAAACCACAACCACCGTCCAACGCACCTCGCGATTGATTACGAAGTGACAGAGACTGTGACGTGGGACCGACTCAAAAAGTCGCGGCTCTCCAGGTAAGCCCCGCGCGGCATGGGCATGTCCGCAACGAAACCTGCCCACGTGAACCGTGCTACTGCCCCTCATTTCGTTTCTTCTTTACCTCCTCGATCTGCACAACCCCAGCCCTCGAACCAACGTTTGATGTCCCTCGTGATTGATTACAAAGCGAAATGCACGGATTTCATCTTCGTCGATGCTCCCCACCCTTCGAGCTTATGGAGAAGAGGGGTGGTGGTGCCGCGGCCTTGATTGTGTGGCCAATTGAGGGCACACGTGAGATTTGTGGTGAGGAAGGTCCATATTTGAGTAGAGATATGGCTCATCTTTGCCAGATATGGACCTTGCTCACTGGTGAATCTCCCCCCATGGCCATCAGATCTGGGAAAATGGCGGGGAGGTGATGTGTCGCCTTAATTGTCTGGACAATAAATAGGGGATACCTGTCACTCCGTTCCTGGCGTGGGACTGGTGGAGGTAGAAGCGGTGGCAAAGCACTATTCTCGCCGTGCTTCTGATCTGGATCCTGCAACGACAACAACAGGAAAAGATTACAATTTTTGTAAGGGCACACTCGAAACTGAGAAAATGCAATTTGCTCCCCTGAATTCCTAAAAATATATGGCATAGATCAGGCTACTCTGAGCGAAATTGGCATGGGGGAGAAGAGGTGCTTACAGCTTGAGCCCGAGGTCGATGTCGCGAATGAATCTACAATATGTTATCCAAAGTTGGGCCTCCTTGGCAACGCCTGCGCCATTCCGCCTAGACGATGAACCACGCTCGATCTCCTTACTTGACGTTATCCAAAGTTGGGTCGGGCAGACGCCTCATTCTTGACAGATCTAGACCTTACTCACCGGTGAATCTCCCCTGTGGCCATCAGATCTGGGAAATAATGGGGAGGTGGTGTCGCCGCCTTGACTATGTGTCCGATTGAGGGCATGGTTGAGATTCAATGGTGAGGAAGGTCCATACTGGGTAGGGATATGGCTCATCCTCGCCGGATTTGGACCTTGCTCGCCGATGAATCTCCCCTGCGGCAACCAGATCTGGGAAATAATAGGGAGGTGGTGTCCGCCGCCTTGACTGTGTGGTCGATCGAGGGCATGGCTGAGATTCCGTGCTGAGGAAGGTCCACCTTTGGGCAGGGATATGGCTCATCCTTGCTAGATCTAGACCTTGCTCATTGGTGAATCTCCCCTATGTCCATCAGATCCGGGGAAAATAGGGGGTAGGTAGTAGGCATGGACATGGGTAGCTCCCTTTCCTGGTTGATGCGCCTTGCATGACAACGACATGGGGGCTTGTGAGGAGGAGGGAGTTTGTGGGAAAAAGTCTTGGTGAAGAGCCAATTAGGAGGAGGAGGCGGCGGCGAGTGTGCAAACTTGGGAACGCTAGGTTTTCTGTATGGTGGTGAGTGAGGTTTGAAGAAATTTATAGGGAATCCTAAGCAATGTGAGCCTTTGGATCTACCTGACCATTCGACAAAAACTAAAATTGTTGGGGTGTTAAATGATAATTGTATTTGTTTCCTTATGTATCATGGAGGAATGTGTGGTGAGTGCTGGAGGTCTTCCCATGACATGGCTCAAAGAGTGTCGTATAGGTGTATGCCTACCCTTTTCTTTGACAAATACAACTCACGTGTGGCTTACAGGTCTCCTAATTCACTATAATTTTACTAAATCCTAGTCACGCTGTTTCTTTTTAGATGGATCCGGTTAGTTTTAAGCCGCTTCTCCTTTTTCTGCTAGGGAGAAAAGAAACCCATTTGAACGGTAACTGATTAAAGGCCTAAAACAGATAAAGCACTACCCTAAGCCTCAAAACATTTATGACAATTTTCCTCAATCATTCTTTACAAATTCTCCCGCTTTTCCCCATAAATTCACCCATTGCTTTGTCAATGAGCCCATGATTCTCACATGGGTGTGTTGGGGAACGCAGTATTTCAAAAAATTTACCTACTATCACGCAAGATCTATCTAGGAGATGCATAGCAACGAGAGGGGAGAGTGTGTCTATGTACCCTCGTAGACCGAAAGCGGAAGCGTTTAGTAACGCGGTTGATGTAGTCGAACGTCTTCGCGATTCAACCGATCCAAGTACCGAATGTACGACACCTCCGCGATCAACACACGTTCAGCTCGGTGACGTCCCTCGTACTCTTGATCCGGCTAAGGCCGACGGAGAGTTCCGTCAGCACGACGGCGTGGCGACGGTGATGATGAAGTTACCGGCGTAGGGCTTCGCCTAAGCACTACGACGATATGACCGAGGTGTGTAACTATGGAGGGGGGCACCGCACACGGCTAAAAGATCAACTTGTGTGTCTATGGGGTGCCCCTGGCCACGTATATAAAGGAGGGGAGGGAAGAGGTGGCCGGCCCAAGGGGGGCACGCCAAGTGTGGGGAATCCTACTAGGACTCCCTAGTCCAAGTAGGATTCCCCTCCTCTTTCCTATTCCTAGTAGGAGAAGGAGGGAAGGAGAAGGAGGAGAGAAGGAAAGGGGGCGCCCCCCAACCCTAGTACAATTCGGTTTGGGCTAGGGGGCGCGCGCCACTCCTTGGCCGGCCTC